TGTTGAGAGACACTTGGGGGGATTGTGGGGGGAGGGGGGTGTCTGAGAGACACTTGGGGGGTGTTCCTGATGGCCAGTTTCGGGGCACGTGGGGGTGTCTCACAGTGGCCTCCGGGCGCAGGTGTGCGTGCTTCGGGGGCGGGTCTCCGCTCTGCGAACATCCTGGTGAAGTCCTCTGCGTTCCTGTAGAACTGCTCGCGGTCCGTCTTGTACTCCTGGGCGAGGTCGGCCCGCAGCGGGTGCTCGGGCTCGGGCTCGCTGATGAGCGCCACGAGCGACAGGATCACCTGCTCGGCCTTGGTGGCCGGCTTCCAGTTCTCCGAGCTGATCACCGGCAGGCACACCTGGCCAGTCTCGTCGATGTTCGGGTGGTAGATCTTCGTCTTGAAGAGGATCTTGGGTGGTTTGAACGGGTACTCGGCGGGAAAGCGGATTTCCACGCGGAAGGCCCCCTTATCATAGGGAGGGCTGTTAGGAACGATGAGACCCTCCCAGCGCAGGAAATTCTCTTCATCGACTTCGATGTCACAGAAGTTTTGGATGCCGCTTTTGTGGATTTCTTCCAGCTCCTTCATCAGCCTCCTCGCCGCCATCTCTCGCCGGCCACAGAACAGTCGCTCCGCGCTTCCAGACAGCTCTGCTCTCCCACAATGCATCGCGCCTACTGTTGCGTGGGAAACACAGGAGCTTCCAAGTCACGACCGGAAAGAACCTTCACAGAGAACTCACGTAGGGACGTAGGGACGTACACGAAATCCCTCTTTACACACAGGAATGGTATACATCTCCAGAACTAGTAATTTTGGTTTTAATTATCCCTATTTGCATTAGTTTATGATACATGATAGGGTATTAGGGTTATCACAAGAGTACAGAATGAGGGTTACATAGTGGAGTGTACTCGGGGTGGGGGCTTGTATACCAATGAAGCTAGTGGATTCAAACAGTATTCCTTTGGGATTATAGTATAGCTTCTTAACACTGGGCCCAAAGAGCTAATTTCCAGACATGCTTTCAAGAGGCCTTAATCCTTAGAAAAGGGCATCATGCTTTGGAAAGCAGAAGGTTTAGGAGAAAGGGGGGGGGGAGCAAAAAAAAACCCCAAACAACTGGAAGGAATGACAAAGTTGCTGCAAATATGAGCTTAAACATAGCAAGTATTGTAAGTATGGCACAGGACCAAGCAATATTTTGCTTTATTACACATAAGGTCCATATGACTCACAACTCAGTTAAGGGAACTCTGGTAGCCTAGTGGCAAGAAGCTGAGCTGCTATCCCAAAGGCACTTGGTTCCAGTCCATCAGCTGCTCTGTGGGAGAAGGAAGGGCAGTCTCCTCCCATGCAATTAACTGCTTCTGAAAACCTTCCAGAGGGTCAGTTATGGGTTGGTTCCAATTCAATGCTACACAACAACAGCAACAACAGTTACAACAACAGCAATATATGGCTATGATAACAATTGAGTAAATCACTCAGAAAATTGAGAGATCAATAAAAGATACAACCAAGGCTGGGCTTATCCTTTGTGATTGAGAAGAAAATGTGTAGGCCCCAAGGCCTATGGATATGAAACAGACTTGATCAAATTAGCCTTCATGGAGCAGCTGATGATGAGTTCAAACTGCCCACCTTTGGGTTAACAGTCAAATGCTTTAACAATAATGCCACAAGAGCTACTTCATTAGCCATTGTTGTTGTGTACTTGCAAATCAGAACCAACCCATAGCTGACCCTTCTGTGGGTTTTCAGAGGCAGTTAATCACACGGAAGGAGTTATTGCCTATTCTTTACCCAAGGAGCAGCTGGAGGATTTGAACTGCATGCCTTTGAGAGTGTAGTGCAGTTTCTTAACACTAGGCCACCAGCGCTCCCTTCATTAGAACTGACCCATAGCTGACCCTCCCGTGGTTTTTCAGAAACAGTTAATGGCACGGGAGGAAATTGCCCATCCTTCTCCGGCAGAATGACTGGTGGATTCAAACTGTGTTTCTTTGGGATTGTAGCACAGCTTCTTGCCTCTATGCCACCAGAGAACTAGAAATTGAAAGTACAATGATGTATCATCTCAACCCTGAAGAAAATGACACTAATAACAAAAGAAAACAAATGCTGATGAGATAACAAGGAGATGGAACCACTGATCCACTGCTAGTTGGAGTATGTATAGTACAACCACTGTGGAAGATTGTGTGACACTTCTTGAAAAATCTAGAAATAGAAATATCTTACGATCCATGAATTCCACTCTTATGTATGTACCCTAGAGACTTAAGAGCAATGACACAAATAGACATATGCACGCCTACAGTCATTACACTATTCACAATAACAAAAAGGTGAAAACAGCCTAAAAAGGATGTCATCTGCCCATCTACAGATATATGGGAAACCAATTAATGTATATACATACAAGGGAATACTAAACATGAATGGGCTTCTCTTATTATATAGTTAACCAGTTTTTACAACAAGACCAACTTTCTCATCACTTGTCTTTGTGAATGCCTGCTTTTAATGTGTATTTTGAATGCTTTATACAATCAGATAGAAAGGAGACTCTGTTGGCCTAGTGATAAGGAGTTGTGTTGCCAGTACAAGGGTCAATGGTGCTAGTCCACTAACTGCTCTGTAGGAGAAAGATAAGAAATCTCCTCTCATATGATTAATAGCTTCCAAAAACCTGCTGAGGGGATCATCTATGAGTTGATAGATAGAAGATTTTTACCAACTTTTACAATCGGAGATTGATC